ACAAGGGATGATGATGAATTACGGTCAGCGATGTGGGATGAGTCTAGACCAGCTGTTCTTACAAAGGGCATGTATTTCCCCGATAAAGCTCGCCTAATTAGGGCTGTAAAAAACTCTACAGTATAAGAGAGTGTCGTGAGATGACAGTAAGTGAGTCAACTACGGAGAAATACAAGGCTGTATGTCGTAGGTGGTTTATGGGTTGTCACTGGATGCTGCGTGCCACAAAGAAGAAATCGGGTTTGTGGAAAGTGGGTAAATTTATTAGCGAGCACAGATGTGAAATGGACACATTCAATGAGAATCACTTCAACTTGGATGTGGACTTGATTTCCCTTGTCTTGATTCCATTTTTGGAAGTGTCCATTAGGTTCAAGATTAAAGAGTGTATTACAGCCGTCCACCAGGAGTATGGTTGTACTATAACCAAAAGAAAGGCATATCTCGGTCGCAAACGTGCCTTTGAACTTATTTATGGCGACTGGGATAAGTCTTTTTCAAATCTGCCCAGGTACATGGCCGCACTGCAACACTTTAACCCCGGGACTGTTGTTGAATGGAGGCGTGAGCGGAGTCCGGACAGACCGGAATATATTTTCAACTATGTGTTTTGGTCATTTAAACCAGCAATTGATGGTTTTGTGCATTGTCGTCCTGTAATTTCCATAGACGGTACTCATGTCTATGGAAAGTATGATATTAAGCTTTTGATTGCAGTTGCAGTAGATGCCAACGGACAAATATTTCCACTAGCTTTTGCCATTTGTGCCAACAAAAGTGAAGAGACGTGGACGCAGTTCTTGAACCACTTGAAGCAGCACGTTGTCGAACAGCGTTCAGGTATTTGTCTAATATCTGATCGACATGGTGGTATTTTAAGTTCTGTATGTCACTTGCCTGAATAGCATGAACCATATGCATACCACCGTTACTGTGTGAGGCACCTGAAGGCCAATTTCCAGAAGAAATTTCCTGACAAGGCCTTGCATGACTTAATGTGGATGGCTGCAACTTAGCACCAGCAGTGCAAATTCACGAGGTGCATGGAAGCGATCCGGCAGATAGAACCACGAGCCTACACTTAGTTGATGCAACATGAGCTTCACATGTGGACATTGCATGCTGATGGCGGCAGACGATGGGGAGCCCTCACTACAAACGTGTCAGAGTCATTCAACGGCTTGTTGAAGTCTGCTCGTGGACTGCCTGTCACTGCCATGGTCCGCATGACATTCAAACAAAGTGCAGAGAGGTTTATTGAAAGGCATGCAGCTGCATTGGCATTGATGGACAGGGGTGTTGAAATTATGCCAATACCCATGAGAAGATTTGAAAGGTACAAGAGGCGAGCACAGTGGCATTCATTTCTTCAGTATGATCATGAACGGGGTGTTTTTGAAGTTAAGACCGCTATCAACGAACACCGTGGGAATAATCTACAGACGGTGAATGAAAATAGAAGGTTATGTTCATGTGGGAAATGACCATCTACCACATGCCGTGCGCACATGCGTTGAAGTGCTTTCAACAAGTTGGATATGGGGCAACAAACTATATTGATAGGCAATACAGTGTTGCTGCATACGTAGACACGTATAGTGAAAAGTTGCATCCATTAGGTGCTGAGCATTATTGGCCGCCGGAACCTTTTAAGTTGGTATTTAACAAGGACTATTTGCGCAAGCTGAAAGTGCAAAAGAGAACGCGTATACAGAACCAAATGGATGTTGGTGAGTCCGTTTATGCGCGCAAATGTGACATATGCTCTCAAACAGGACATGACCGTCGTAAATGTCCTTCAGGTGGTGTGCGTGCCGGTGGTAATCCTGGTGCAAGTTCGTCCAATGTACCCACTATCAAGGATACCCCTAGTCCTTTATTTTGGTATTATTTTTTGTAATACATGTCTGTATTTTTGTTTGTTTCAATATATATGAAATAAAATAAATTTCCACAATCCTGTTACATCTTATTTTTTAACGTTATATTTTGATATGGTTGGAGCAATATTGAGGTATGGGTGTTAGTAAACATGAGCAAGAATGTGGTATAAAAAAAAATTCGTTATGAAATAAATTAAATATGTAAAGCGTGGTACAATAATGTGTTTTATCAATTGTCTTGTCGTTCTTAAAAAGCTGTAAAGCGTTGTTCAAAAGCTTGAATGAATGAAAAATATTTTTTTTTTGCAGAAAAATTAAATATGTAAATCTCAGTATAATACTACGTTTTGTTGAGTTGTCACTTCGTTCTGAAAAAGCTGAAAAGCATGTGAAAACACTGCTTTGTTTCAGATAAATTTAATATGTAATTCGCAGTATTATACTGCGTTTTATTGAGTTGTCATTTCGTTCTGAAAAAGCTGAAAAGCATGTAAACACCCTGTTTCGTGTAAGAGAAATTTAAAATGTAATTCGCAGTATTATACTGCGTTTTTGTGTGAAATCTTGACTATAAATAATGGTTGCATGCTACTTATATTCTTCGCTTAACAATAACCAAAGTTTCTCCATAAGAAATGTCTGAACAAAACGTTTATGTCCCAAGGTGCTACTGCGGAGAAAAATGCAGTTTGTTCAAATGGTGGCCAGAAGGTGCACGCCGCTACTGGGCATGTAAGAACAAGCTTGAGGAGTTACCCGGCAAGCCTACATGTGAATTTAAGGTTTGGATGGACGAACCATGTAACCAGAAGCACTACAAAGAAAGAATTTATGAGCTTCATTGTTTATGTAATAGCCAAGCGGTAAGCGAGCGCCGAACCAATGATGAAATTGAGGCGTTGAAGGCCAAACTCAACGAGGCAGAAGAAGAGAAAAAAAAGGTGGAAGAGCAACTCGAGTGGTTGGAGCAAATTGTAGTACGCGATCGTGATTAAATAGTGGCTTGTACGTGATAAGCGTAGTAGTGTATTTTCATGTTTCCCTTGTCATGTGTTTGTAGTAGTTGTACTGTTTGTATCTTTAGATTTGCTGCTTTTGTGTTTGTGTTTCATGTTCAAATAAAATTCATGTTCAAATTCTGTTTCAATAAAAATGTTGTTATACTTGAGTTGTTGTCATTAAATACATAATGTTCAAACCCTGTTTCGTGTCAAAGAAATTTAAAATGTTATGTCGAAAAATGCAAATCTAAAGCTGTCATGTCGAAATTTAAAATGTTATGTCGAAAAATGCAAATCTAATGAGAAAAATGCAGTTTGTTGAGTTGTCATGTCGTTATGAAAAAGCTGAAAACCATGTGAAAACCATGTTTCGTGTCAGAGAAATTTAATATGTAATTCGCAGTATAATACTACGTTTTGCGGAGTTGTCTTATCGTTCTGAAAAAGCTGAAAACCATGTGGAAACCCTGTTTCGTGTCAGAGAAATTTAATATGTAATTCGCAGTATAATACTACGATCAATCTGAAATCTTGCCTATAAATAACGAGCAAATTCGAGTTATTTTCTGCGCTTAACAACAACCTATAATCGAGATTTTCCATAAAACCAAACTTCTCTTTAAGAAATGTCTCAACGACCCCTTCGTTGCCCAAAGTGCGACTGTGGAATCAAAAGCATGATGTACAATGAATGGGAAGAAGCTGGACGCCGCTACTGGGCGTGTATGAACAAGTTTTATAGGCAACCCGACGTACCTATATGCAATTTTAAGGTATGGGTTGATGAACCATGTGACCAAGAATACTACAAAGACCAAGTGTATCATCTTCAAGATGTGTGTAATGGGCAGTAGGACAGAGAGCGCCAATCGAAGCAAGAAATTGAAGAGTTGAAGGCGAAGATCAAGGAGGTGGAAGAAGAGAAAAAGGAATTAGAAAGAAAGCTCGAGAGGATTAAGCAGAGAATACTAGGCGGTCGTAACTAAGCGATGACATTTACGTGTTGATTGTTGTAGTGTATCTTCATGTTTCCTTTGTCAAGTGCCTTCATTAGTTGTACTGTTTGTTTTTGTGTTAGGTTTGTAAGGTTTGTGTTTGAGTTGTACTGTTTAAGTAAAATTGCTGTTCAAAGGCAATTAAAATAAAATAGTTGTTAAAAGATTGTTACTATTATTTACATAAAGCACTATTTACACAAAGTTAATACATAAGTAAATCAGTGAGTGCCGCAGCCTGTGTGCTTCAGTGCTGCTGCTGGCCTAAGTCGCATCCCCTGTCGCCCGGACACACTATCTGGATCATCATCATCAAGCTGCCTCTTTATGTGAGGATGTGCAGCAGCATCAACCCTACAACTGGCAGGATCGGAAGAATAGGCCGTCGGGCGGTCAGCAACCTACAAAACAAGAAGTAATCTTAGCATGTGAAAATGTATTAATGAAAATGTATTATTATCTTAACCTACAGAATGTACTATTATTTTAAGTAAGAAAATATTTTCTCACCATGGTCTCGTCGACCTCCTGGGTATATGTATCATGGTGTGCTCATCACCGCATGTAACAAAGATGGGCTGGGACGAAGACTGCATAAGAAAGTAACAATTAATTAATGGCAGCTATTTAAGGAAAACAAAACAAATTGAAATATTAAAGTAATACAAACATACCGCCGCCTGTGGTAGATCCGCATGAACTGCCGGGGACGATGGATAACTCAACCTGCGCCTGCCATCCACGTCTTGGGCCGGCCGATCCTCAGCTGCGGTAGATGGGCATGCGAAGTACTGATCTACATCCCCGTCAAATGTACCCATGATCGACAATGCTCCTGACGGGGTGACCTGCGATGCTGGCAAAGATAGCTGAAGGCTATACGAAAAGATGCTGCTGGAAGGCTCATCTGCATGAGGCATATAACCCTGCTGATCATCTCCAAAGCCCCCAACTCCGAAGTACTCGTCATGTCCCTCAGCAGGTGGGTCGACAGGTACCTCAACGCCCCCTTGCTGACCACCTCCTCGCCGTCCCCTGCGACCCCGTGGGGCACCCCTGCCTCGTAGGGCACCCCTTCCTGGTGCCCTACCCCTGGCTCGTGGGACTGGCCTACCCCGCTGTTAGGCCTCTGGAGCCACATACTGAGGCTCATGGTCTAACCTCTCAGCATCTCTCGCCTGCAACAGTGTCAGACGAGCCATCTGAGCCACCCGTCGGCCATACTCAACCACCTCAGGGTGGGCACGCTGCTGCATCTCCTGTCCCAACTGGTAGATGCGGTGATGCCTAATAGCCTATGAAACATTTAAAATAGTAATTAAATAACGCTATATTACAATTATAAGATATTAATAAGCCACAAAAACATACCAGTGCCTCGTGCCTCCCGGCGTACGGTCTGTAGCGCTCGCCAAGTACATGAACGGGGTTCCCGATCATCATTCGGGTCTGACAGCGGTACCGCTCAGCATACAGATGAATAGAGGCCTCCTGTAAAACTGTAGGTGGTAGCGGAATGCGCCCAGCTCGGTCCTCCCAATAAGCTATCTGCTGTTGTAGCCATCCAATATACTGTCGGTCCATGCTGGCACGGTCGTCCTGCTGATAGTGTGTAGCCTCCCATCCAGGCTCCCTCGGTATAGGCTGAGGAAGGCCAAATTGTCGAAGCACACGCTCCGTGGCATGATACTCAACGTGATCCCAGAAGATCATCGGGACGGAGGTGCTCCAAATCAGCCGGTCGACTGAGCAACAAGCGGGTAGCTGACCAAGCAACTCGATGCTGTATGGCGTCCAGATGAACTACCAAATAATAACATAAAAATGAGTACGCAAAACACAACTCAATTTAAAACAACCAAGTGTAGGTACATATTTACCTGTCCGTCCACCAACATATCTAACACATCTCTGAGAAGGGGGAGATTATGATGAGCATCCGTCCCTCGGTAGTTCCCACGCCGGAGAATCCACCTGATAGCTAGAGGGAGAAGCGGATAATCCTCACCGAGCGGAAGTGGTGGTAGAGGTGGCTGCAACGGCATGATCCGCTGCCAGGCCCAAAGCTAAGATAAAATGTTGATGTAAATTTATGAGTCATTTCACGATATAGGATTTGGAGTAAAGAACAAAGTATTCGAAAATTATTGCACCTGTAGGAGGGGCAGAAAACCACATATATCAACCGCTGGACCTATGCTTGCCCGGCACATGCTCCTATACAGATACGCCAGAACAGTAGCACCGCAGCTATACTGGGGTAGCTCATCCAGCTGCTCAAGACAATGGAGAAAACGCATACTCACTTTACTCCCCGAAGTGTCCGGGAACAAGACACACCCGAAAAGCAGGAGCAACGCCAACCGAGTGTACCTCTGAATCCAAAGATGCTCCGTCTCATGAGTAATATCTGGGTGCAAATCCACCATCTGATCTCTAATGAATGACAAAGCAACGCGACTGCCACCCCGGTCACCCTGAGGTCTAGAACCAGTCAACTGCCCCATCATATCCGCCAACTGTGCACGTGTCATCCCTCTCCAGTGGTGGGGCAGTGCGAAGGCGCGTCCCTCTACACGCAGTCCAAATAAAACCTGGACATCCTGCAGCGTGATGGTGGCCTCTCCAGTGGGCAAGTGAAATGTATGCGTCTCCGATCGCCACCGCTCTACCAAGGCCGTGATGAGCGACCAATCAAGCTGCATCCGTCCATGCTCAAAAATGGTATATAATCCCGTAGTTTGGAGGCTCTCTACTACGCGCTCATGGAAAGGATGCCCCGCAATAAACTCCCACAAATCATCAAGCCTCCTGGGGAGGAGAGCCTGCATCGATAGATGTCCCTCCCAAACATAGGAGGACCTATGGTCGCCCTGCAGCACTAGTAGCTGATCCTCGGCAGGTCCAGGATGCGCAGGCGGAGAAAAGGCCATGTCGTCTACTATAATTTAAATAAAATTAATTGTTTGTGTTAGTGTAATAAATTAAATGATTAAGTATGATTAATATTGGAGAGAATACTTATGTATGGGTTCCAGGCTTGATTTTCGAGGCCCGGTAGCACTGAGTTATCCTTAATTATTATGCGTCTACATTTTAACATTTTTAGAATTTTGTTACCTTAAAGAATTAAATTATAAATTTTTGAATTGGAGTAAATAATTATGTATGGGTTCCAGGCTTGATTTTTGAGGCCCGGTAGCACCGAGTTATCCTTAATTATTATGCGTCTCAATTTTAACATTTTTAGAATTTTGTTGACTTAATAAATTAAATAATTAATTATGTTTAATATTGGAGATAATAATTATGTATGGGTTCCAAGCTTGATTTTTTAGGCCCGTTAGCACCGAGTTATCCTTAATTATTATGCGTCTCAATTTCAACATTTTTAGAATTTTGTTAACTTAATAAATTAAATAATTAATTATGTTTAATATTGGAGATAATAATTATGTATGGGTTCCAGGCTTGATTTTTGCGGCCCGGTAGCACCGAATTATCCTTAATTATTATGCGTCTCAATTTCAACATTTTTAAAATTTTGTTAGCTACTGAGACTCTACGCTAAAAGGCTCTATATTTTACTACGCTAAAAGGCTCTATATTTTACTTCGCTAAAAGACACTATATTTTACTACGCTACAAGGCTCTACAATATGAACATAACATTAACAATACAAATAAACAAAATAAATAATATTATTTAACACTACAAATTATTTATCAAATTTTAATACAAATTACATAAGAATACAAATTATTTATCAAATTTTAAGCATTTTTGGTCACAAACATAACATAATTCGGGTATATAAATCAAATATAACACAAACAATCCGGTAGCATTTTTGGTCACAAACATAACATAAATTCGGGTATATAAATCAAATATAACACAAACAATCCGGTAGCATTTTTGGTCACAAACATAACATAAATTTGGATATCAAATAAATTAATCCGGGTATATAAAAGATACAAAATTAAACACAAACATAACATAATTTCACATGGAAACATACTAAACAATACTAATATGCATGACTATACGAGTTTCGGCATAAACTAAATTGAAATACCTTGATGTAAGTTTTTTGAATATTATTGAAATCGAATTTTTGCACCCGAAACACGGAATCTAAAGCTTTCTTTTGTGTGTGACGACCTACACTCCTTGCTTCTTTAGTGGGACGGGTGGGCCGTTAAGTTTTTTTTTTTTAAAAATGACAGGGGGGTGGGGGACCAGAAACACTTCGATTTGTTTTTTAATGGAGGTTTGGACTTCTGTCTCGAAGGAAGAAGAAGAGCCTTATTTAATTAAGGCAATTAATTCGCAGTATTATACTGCGAATTGATTTAACGGCAAAATTTCCGTTAACCTAATTCGCAGTACAGTACTACGAAGTAGCCATTTTTGTAACTTTTTTTTCAAACATTCAAACCGTACTTTGTGTCTAAAAAGTCATTAATTAAGTTTCGGACTCCTTCAACCTATTCCAAATTGGTTGGGAAATTTATGATATTTATGTCTGATATCAGTAATTCTGCAAAACGCAACAGGGACAGCTGTTGATAATTAGTCTTTGCCCAATGACGTTCAGGTGGTAGGCAAAACATTTTACAGTTGATATTGATCGATTAATGATGAACTGTCTTGGCTATATCTGGAATAGTGTATCGGACAGGGCAAAAGGTCAAACCACCAATTTTGGAGTATTCTAGGACTGCAAGTGGTCCAACCCAACAGGAAAGCTAATTAAAATAAACGAAAGACTGAAAAAAGAGATTGCAGTACAATTTTAACTCTATCATAATGAGAATTGAAGTCGCTATGAAGAGTTTGAGAGCAATTTTCCTCCAACCTCCGAACCCCCCCCCCCCCCCTTCCCCCGAAAAAAAAGTTTAAAAAAAAAAAACAGTTGCCAACTTTTCAATAATTGAATATGTATTCCTCCTCTCAGACCATGTCAGATAACTTGCAAAACATGCAGGTAGAGACGGAAAAGATATTCAGATAGAGTACCAGCATATTTTCCCTCTTTGCAAAAAAAAAAAAAAAAAAAAACAGCACTTGAATTTATTAAGGAAATAAAAGCTAGCTAGTTGCCCGGGGTGATTGTTCTGAGGGCACTCTGATTTTTGCACAACTATGAGGTAGAGAGAAAGACAAAGCATGACTACAGCATAACTTGGCTAAGGAATAGACTAGTACTCCACATGTGCCTTTTGTAATTCAAACTTTTGGAGTTCTTGGAAACAGTGGTCTCATTCTAAAGGATTTCTTAATGCCTACATTTATCTTGTACCAAATAACCTGGTTATAACCATGGCTATTAGAATTCCGTGACAAGTCTTGTCCACACACAAAACAAAAAGAGAGGTATGTACTTTGGCTAAATGCTACTTCAAATATTATAACGTGGACAATGTTATTAATAGTGAACTCTAAATACAAAAGATGCCGGAAAAGAAAAATTCTGAATACAAAAGATGAAGAAGGAAATAAATGAAATACATTGTTGCGACTCTGTCAAACTTCCACCTTTTTTTTTTAGAGGGAAGAACAAATCTTCAACAAAAAGAACTCTGCTCTTTGGTATAACTTAATCTGTAAATGGAGAAACTAAAGGCCAGTCGTAAGACGAGTTGTTACAGTTTCCAGGACTGAGTATATCACATGCAGTAGCTGCCGCTACATACTAGTTTCAAACTCCAGCAACTTCAATCCAAACACAATTCACTATCTGCTATATGACAATTCTCCAAACACATTCCCAATGCTCCAGGGCAGCATATTACCATGTAAACTAGGAGGGTGATCTTTCCTAAGATGGAGGTGAATGACTGCATCAGCACCAACACAATCAGTTCCACTTTAGGGAGCACGTTAAGAAATTCTAATTGCTGAACTGAAAGGAAAAACACAGAAATACAGAAACAATCATATCGAAATAAATAAGGTGCAAACCTCTTGTATCGTTCTGGACTTCCCACTTCAACATATCTAGGACTCCCTATAGGTTCAGATTTAGAAATGGGTTGCTGTCAAGGCGATAACCATTCATGTTACATCTCTCTTTTTTTTCTTTTTTAAATCAACAAAGGTAAAGTTATATTAATAAACAAGCCAGTTCTGAGCAAAATAATGCTGGATGGACAACCCTTTAAAGTTGAAAGGATTCAAAGAAGTCCAGCATCATATTAACATCAGTAGAAAAATCAGCATTACACCAAATTTTCACTCTGGATACATCATCTTTTAACAAGTAAAATATTCTCTTCCTTCCCTCAAAACATCTTCGATTTATCTCAAGCCAACGACTCCACATAATGCAACACAGAATGGTCTGCCACTGCCAGGTCTTCTTTTTCTTCTTAATTTCTCATTCTCTGACTCTGCCAACTACATAGAGTTTGTTTCACATATTGCTGGCATATATCCACTGAACTCCATAAAGATTGAGAAAATACAGCAAATCTGCCATACATATTTGCAATGTAACAATAAGGGGTCGTTTGGTATGAGGTATAAGTAGATATAGTGCTGGTATAAAAATTTAATACCACCTTAATACTTTATTTGGTTAGAAAACCTGGTATACGTTATCCCGGGATTAAAATTAGTACCGGAATAACTTATACCTTATAGGGGGTGGGGTAATTAGTGCCGAGATAACTTATACTTTCTTCTTAAAAATTATGTCATTGTCATTATTAATACAATATACAAAACAATGGATAAAAAACAATACCAGGATAACTAATCCATTATAACTAGTCATAGCATAACTTATCCCCGTATGGTAACCAAACGACTAAGTGATTTACTGTCTCACCATCTTCTCTGCATAAATAACACCAACTGCAAAAGTTAAAACCCTTTTTTTGCCCATTTCTTGGGTAAGATAAGCCTCATCTGCTGCCACCGAATCAAAACAAGCAATTTTAGTTGGTGCTTTAGTTTCCCAATGCATCTTCCTTGGCCATTCTTGTGTTGTACTCAGCTTTCTTCCTTATCGGTAACTGGTACCTTGATTTCACTGAAAAAATACCATCCCTTCATTCCGGCTACATTTCTCTCTCCTCTCCTTTTGAGGAGTCTGGATTTGTTCCACAATCAGGACTTACCCTTTCCAGCGGACTGCTCTCATGGCCATTTTCAGGACCAGCTGTTTCCCTTCTAGGGCTTGGGCTATGACCATTTCCATGGCTAGAATTTCTCTCCTTCCGTACACCAAGACTACGGCCAAGACTCATGCTCAGCATTCCGTTCCCTGTGGCGACTTGAAATAGATCATTGAACATAATGAGGACACGACTTCATCAATCTGAACCGTACGAACTTGGGCTGCGGCGTCGACTATGACCATAATCAGGACTGGCCCTCTCTCTTCCATAAGGTCTGTGAGACCGGTTTCTCGCTCATTTCTATCCACTAGGAGACGTCATATTAAGGCAGTGTTGATTTTCTATGAATGAAGAAAGTAGGGAGTGCCAGATTAGGAAAACTATGAAATGGATTATCAAATAACCAATTTGCAACATATATTTTTCTAATCAGTTTAGGTAACAAATTTGCAACAATATACAAAAGCACGTACCTCATATCTTGTGATTCATATTGAACAATGTTTAGTATTTTTCCATATGGATCTAAGTGCCTCTCCAGATCCCTTGACCTTGTATTGTATGGGTCAAAATTAATGAATAAAATATGTTGTTGTATAGCTCCAAAACTAGATGAAATTTTTCTAGGACTCTTAGGCCTCCAGCTTTGCTCTTCCTGTAGCACAACCATGGAGAATCCGATCTATCCGGAAAATCACCA